GGGCAGAGGGTTGTGACACATGGAACTCTCCAAAGTGTGGGGCCTCAGGCAGGGTCACCAGGAAGCTTTCCTGGCAACGGAAATGTTCCATGTCTTGATCTGTTTGATGGTTAGATCGGGGTACATATTTGTAAAAATTCACCAGACTGTACACCTTGTGTGAATTGTACAGCATGGAAATTATACTTCAATAAAGTCCTGTCAGCATAAAAAAATAAAGGCTATTGGAGCATGCTTTTTCTCTATGTGAACTAAAGGGGGAAACCACAGTATGATTCCATCACTCTAACACAACTGTTTTATGTATTCTTTTTCATATGCCTGCAAACATATGCACAAACATTCCATATGTTTTCTTCTTTCTTTTTTTAAAAACATTTTATTTATTTACTTTTAGACAGAGGGGAAGGGAGGGAGAAGAAGAGAGAGAAACATCCATGTGCCAGAGAAACATCATCATTGCCTCTTGCATGCCCCACACTGAGGACCTGGCCTGTAAACCAAGCATGTGCCCTGACCAGGAATCAAACCAGCAACCTTTCAGTTTGTGGGATGGTGCCCAACCCACTGAGCCACACCAGTCAGGGCTCTTTTTTTCTTACCTGGCTGCAACCCCACCACACATTTGGTTCTTATGTCCTTGATATTATATCTTCAATTTTTATATGTGGACATAGTCTTAGTAACTGTATAGTTGGTCCTTGACTAATGAGGGTTTGACCTAACAGTGTTTGACTTTAAGGTAGTCATTTTATGAAGGCAGCATTATTCTGATACTAAAACCAGATAAAGACAACACCACACACACACAAAATAAAGAAAATTATAGGCCAATATCCTTGATGAACATAGATGCAAAAATTTTCAGCAAAATATTAGCAAACTGGATTCAACAATACCTTAAAAAGATCATAGACTGTATAGAAGTATGATTCATCCCAAGAATGCAAGATGGCCCCACATTCATAGATCAATTAATGCAATACATCACATTAACAAAATAAAGAATAAAAACCATATGATCACCTCAATAGATGCAGAAAAACATCTGACAAAATTCAATATCTTATGATGAAAACTCTCAACAAAGTGGGTATCGAAGGAACATACCTCAACATAATAAAGGCCATATGTGATGAACCCTCAGCTGATACCAGACTCAGTGGTGAAAAGCTGAAAGCCTTTTCTCCAAAATCAGGAGCAAGATAAAGATGCCAACTATCACCACTTCTATTCAGTAGAACATTGGAAGTCCTAGCCACAGCTACCAGGTACGACAAAGAAATAAAAGGCATCTAAATTGGAAAGGAAGAAGTAAAACTCTCATTATTTGCAGATGACATGATACCAACTATAGAAAACCCTAAAGATGCCACCAAAAAACTGCTAGAACTAATAAATGAATTCACTAAAGTTATAGGATATATATTCAATATACAGAAGTTTGTTATGTTTTATACACCAATAGCAAATGATCAGAAGAAGAAATCAAGAAGACAACCCCATTTACAACTGTATCAAAAAGTATAAAATACCTAGGAATAAATTTAATCAAAGATGTAAAAGACCTGTACTTTGAAAACTGTAAGACACTGAAGAAATTGAACAAGATACAAATAAATAAAAAGATATACCTTGCCAATGGATTGGAAGGATTAATATTGTTAAAATGTCCTTACTACCTAAAGTAATATGCAGATTCAGTGCAATCCCTGTTAGAATACCAGTGGCATTTTTCCAGAACAACTCAATCCTAAAATTTATGTGGAGCCACAGAAGACCCTGAGTAGCCAAAGAAATCTTGAGAAAAAGCAAAGTGGGAGATATCATGTTCCCAGATTTCAAACTCTACTAGAAGCTACAATAATCAAAATAGTATGGTACTGGCATAAAAACAGATATATACTGAGAGCCCAGATATAAACTCCCACATTATATGGTCAAGTAATAGATGACAAAGGAAGCAAGGATATACAATGAGGTAAAGACAGTCTCTTCAATAAACAGTGTTGGCCAAAAACAGATAGATACATGCAAATAATTGAACTTGGTCCATTTTCTTACATATACAAACATAAATTGAAAAGATTGAAGACTTAAATGTTAAACCTGAAACCATAAAACTCCTAGAAGAAAACATAGGCAGCAAACTTTATGACATTGAGCTTAGCAATATCTTTTTTGATATATCTCCTCAAGTAAAGGGAGCAAAAGAAAAAATAAACAAATGGGATTATATCAAAGTAAAATGTTTTTGCACAGCAAATGAAAATATCAACAAAATGAATAGACAACCTACTGAATTGGAGAAGATACTTGTGAATGATATATCCAGAAAGGGGTTAGTATCCAAATACATAAAGCACTCATATAACTTTATGGCCCCCCAAAAACAATCAATCCAATAAAAAATGGGCAGAGGACCTGAACAGACATTTCTTTCTAGAGGACACACAGATGACCAAAGGATAAAGAACTGTTGCATGTATACAGTGGAGTATTATTCAGCAATAAAAAAGGACCCAACCTTGCCATTTGCAACAACATGGACGGACCTAGAGAGTATTATGCACAGTGAAGTAAGCCAGAGAGAAAAAAAAACAGAGGTATGAATGCACCTCAATGTGGAATCTAAAAAATACCCCAAATAAATGAATAAACCAAATCAAAGTGAAACAGAATCTTAGATACAGAGAACAAGATGATAGTTGCCAAAGGGGAGGGGATAAAAATGAGATGGACATGCACAGCATAGGGGGTGTAGTTGATAATTTTGCAATAAGCCTGACAGATGGTTACTAGACTTAGCATGGTGATGACTTTGTTAGGTGTAGTAGTATTGGATAACTATCTTGTATACTTGAAACTATACAGTAGAAATTATTAAGTATAATAATGTACACTAACTATTTTAATATAAATAAAAATAAATTAAAAATGAGATGAGGCAAAGGATGGTTGACTTACTCAATTCTGTTTTCCCTTTCACATCTTACCTCTTTAAAATGTTTAATTTAAAGCACACTTCAAATATTGAGGTATAATAATGAATTGTATCTGTGATCTTGGTTTTTCTCTGGGGTCATTGTCTTTTTTTTTAAGATTTTACTTACTTATTCTTGGAGAGTGGGAAAGGGAGGAAAAAAAAGAGGAAGAGAAGCATCGATGTGTTAGGGAAACATCGATCAGTAGCCTGGACCGGGACCAGGTCTGCAATCCAGGAATGTGCCTTGACCAGGAATTGAACTGGCAACAGTTTGCTTTGTGGGGTGATGACCAACCAACTGAGCTACACTGGTCAGGGCAGGTTCATTGTTTCTTAAATATGTTCCATCATGTATGAAAAAATAGTAATCCAGCTCTATTTTTGAGTATACCACTGGAAGATTGTTTTCTGAAAAACTCTTTAGCTACAGATAACCCCTGCTTGTGCTGAAATTCTTTATGTTGCTGTAATACTTTAATTGTATTTGAACCATGTGAAAGAATTGCATAATAACCCCCATGGGCCCATCAACCAGCTTCAACAATTATCCACACTCTGTCAGTCTGGTTTCCTCTCCGCCCCCGCCCCCAGCACAAATTTGGCAGAGAAGAGTGAGGGTGTATTTTTAAGCAGGTCTCAGACTTCATATAATTTTACTGTTAAATAATTAACTTTGCATATCAAAAAGAGAAGGCCCCATCTTTTTGTAAAATATAACAACAGTGCCATCATTGCACCCACAAAAGTAATAGTAATACAGGAGCTCCTTGAATTTTTAGTGGATCCAGAAAGAGTATTGGGATGAAGGAGCTCTGGCCTGAGTGTACCCCTTTCCTCCAGAAAAAAAAATGGTGGAATTTATTTTGGAAATGTCTTGGGTTTTTAACTGACACTTTCCCAATTCCTTATATGACTTTCAGAAAGCAGATATGGGAAAGAACCGTCCAGAGCAATGGACGTAGCCAGCACTTACCTGGTACCTACTGTGTACATCTCCGTGTACCTCATCTCCTTTAACCTTCACACTGAAGCTGAGAAGTAGAAACCAAGGCTCTGGGAGGTGCTTCCCAAACATAACCTGTGATTGGTCAACATTAGAATATGGTAATATCATCCTGGCTCCCTCCTGAATTAATAGGTGATTGCTGTTTAGTGTTAGGGAACAGGCTACTGGTTTGTGCCTTAATCTAACCAGATGTTTAACTGTAGTAGAAATAATAGCCAGTTCATTTTTTGAGATTCCCTGTGGAATGGTTAAATGAGGATAGTAATATCTCAGGCAGAGAGAGGATGAGAATGGCTTCCTCTTCCCAGCCCAGGCTGAGGGACCACTTAGTCTTCCCCTCTTGCTAGTCCTCTGTCCCTGGCCGGATCCAATGCAAATCATAGGGCTAGAGGACATTTGTAGATCTGTGCTTGAAAGTTTTGATTGTCTGCCTTGGAAACCTGTAAGCTGTGATTCAGTAAGGAGCATCTTTAAATGGCAAAATGAAGAAGTGCCTCCTTACACATGCTTGGCAGTGGGAAAAGCCCCTCGAAGCATTGCAGGAGGTGAAGAAGGAAGGAAAATCAAAGAACCTCATTAATCTAGATGGATTTTATGACCCATCTTGAGATGAACTCTGGTAACTGAAGTTGTTTGTGTTTAAAATGCCCTTCCGCAGACCCAAAGGAGTAAGCAGAGACCTAAGGATCTCGCTGGGTAGTGAGACCATCCTAGCAGGTTTACTGTGAGGCTACTGGAGCTTCAGCTTCAAGGCCCAGAGCTGGCACAGACCTCTCCCCAAACCTGGGGAGAAGCTCTAGAAATGTGCTCCTGTGCTCATGCGTATGAACTTCAACCCACTTAATGCCCAGATCCACATATGCATCTCAGGAATCGAGTCCTCAAGAGAAGTGTTCGTAACCATATCTCGATAAGTCCCACATTTCCCTGGTGGTAGAGCTTCCCTCCCTTTTAATTTCTCTCTGTAATCTGCAAGGATTTAACCTCATTTGTATTTCATTTATGCAGATGAAATTATGCAGCAGGAGATCAGGCCCTTGTTGGCAGTGGATATAATTGAACCACTTCACAGACAGTTTGCCATTCTTTCAGGTAAGGGGCTAGTTCATTTGTACTTCTAGATTTTGTTGGGGGCTCTGCTTGGAGGGCCTGGCCTCTTGAATCTTGGTGAACATTACACTCAAATTTCAACATCTGTTAAGGCAGTGGTGCCCAACCTTTTTGGTACCAGGGACCGGTTTTATGGAAGACAATTTTTCCTCCGACTGTGGTGTGGGGTGGAGGGGGGGCAGGTTGCAGGCCTCAGGTGGGACGGGGAGGAGGGCGGTTGGGGACCTGAGCTTTAAGGCTCACCTGGCCTGGAATGCACCAAGGACCATGTTGCTGAAGAAGGGTGGGATCTCAGAGATGTCATTCCATTTGCTGTTGGGGGAAATTTGATGTTTCTTAAGGGAGTACAGTTTTTTGAGTTTGTTGAAGAACAGGGCTGAAAAGGTTTTGAGGAAGAAAAAAGAAATAACTACTGACATCAGTTGACTTGTCATTCAGGTGCCTCTCCTGTCCCGGAGTTGTGTCCTAGATGGGGATGTCTTGTACAATCCAGGACATGGGGGGATTCTCTGGTTTTTCCTCCACATTGGCCACTGATCATTTAAGCCACTGGGAGCGGCATAGGTTCAGGGTCCTCAGTTTTCTTATTCCTGCCTGCACTGCCAGTGCTTAGAACAGAGACTGAAACATAATAGGTGCTCGGTTCAAAATTACCCAAGTCCTCCTGGTCTGTCCCATGAGGCCAATGGATTCCCTGTTCTCCCCCCCCCCCGCTCCAGGCACCCTGGTCTTGGCCCTGGAGGGAGTGCCGAACCATCCTGCTGAAGGAGCAGTCTCGTGGCTTCCCACAGTGAGGCTAGGGTTGTGCGGAAGAAAGGCAGGACCGGAACTGTCTCTGGGTTTCTAGCAACTGCTATGGTGGCTCTACCCTGCAGAAGGCCCTGCAACCAAAGTGCTAGAATGGGTGATGGGCTGGGGCCGGGTGGATTCCTACAGCCTTACACCAAACTCTGATGCCTCAGTGTATGAGTGTATCATTATGCAGTGAGCACGTAGCGAGTATATAACTACACGTTGGCTCATCTGGGCAAGGAATCCAGCAACTGATTGGTTATACATTTAATGATAGAAAGTGATCTCTTTTGAGTATCATTGAGGTGTTTCTTCCTTTTCTTTCTTTCTTTCTTTCTTTCTTTCTTTCTTTCTTTCTTTCTTTCTTTCTTTCTTTCTTTCTTTCTTTCTTTCTTTCTTTCTTTCTTTCTTTCTTCCTTTCTCTCTTTTTCTCTCTCCCCCTCCCTCCCTCCCTCCCTCCCTCCCTTCCTTCCTTCCTTCCTTCCTTCCTTCCCACTTGAGATGATTTAATGAATTCCCTTCTGAGTGACTTCCAGCTGTCAGCACACAGGCCCCCCAATGCTCCTAATCTTCTCCTCTGATCTTCTACTGAAGAACGTGGCCTTCATGATGACAGGCTGCTTTGGGAGTGTCCCTTCCCCAGGGCTTTGTGGTCGCCAGGTGCACAGTTTATCAAGGTCGACTGGGGCAGAAGCGCCGGCTCTTCTTTAAGCGGTCATGCCCCAGATGTGGGCGGTGTTGGTCGAAGTCCATCCTGTGCTGACACAGCCACCAGCACTACCTTGGCCTCCCAGGTGCTGCCTGTGCTTTGCCCGTGCGGCCATGGCCAAGCTCACCTGGCCCCAAAGTTTCCGGGTCTTCCTCAGTCTGGACAGCATGCTGGTGGCTGAGATGCAGGAGAGAAGCCCCCTTTTCTCATTTCTTAGAGGCAGAATAGGGGAAAGGTAACCTGCTAACATAACAAGCCTTAATGAGGATTTAGATTCTGGTTCACCTTGGGCAATTTACTTCTCTAAGCCTCTTCCCTCTTTTGAATAATCAATGGAGTCATTGAAATTCTGTGAATTAACTGACATAAGGTAGGAAAAATGCTTAATACTGTAACTTCCAAATAAAGGTTGGATATTTTTTCATGATGTATTCTAATCCCATACCATGTTTCTTTTAGGGTTACATTAAGATAATAATGTTTAGTATGATGCAGTTTTTATAATTAACCGAAGCCATGCTCACAGTGAATGTGTGCGTTATGCCACAGTTAGGTCGGAAAAAGAGTTAATCTTCACTTTTTAATGTAGAACACAGAACTGTGAGAACACGCACTGGACCGAGAGGACACCTCTGTTTTGGCAAAGGCTCTTCGACTGTCAACGACAGCCCTTCCATTTCTGAGCTTCTTTTGTCATCCGATTGCCCTTCTTATGAGAAAGGAGCATGGATTAGCAGTGGTGGCATTTGCAGCTCAGCAAGCACGTTAGACCATCAGCAGCCGGTCAATGCCGATGGGGTTCCAGGTCAACACTTTTTTGGAATTAGGTCTGCTTTCGCCTTTAACCATCCGTCTTTGTCTGGCAGAGGCAGCAGATGTCAATAACAAGGCTGCTGTGGGTGTCTGTGTAATAGCGGGTGTGCAAAAGAAATTTCTATGATTAGTTCTTTTCCCATCACTGTGGAGGGCCAGCTGTGGCCTCTGTGCAGGGTCACAGCGGTTTGCCATTTCCTGATTTGGGCAAGGAGGATGAAGATATTCCAGCCGCATGTTTTTCCTACAGACTCCACTGAGCTCTGGAAAGAGCCAGGGGTCCCATCAGCCAGGAATACTGAGAGGACAGAACGGAGCCTTTTTCTCACCGAGGCCCCAGTTGCTCCGCCCGCTGCGCTGTGGGAGTGTGCTCCTCCGGCTGGCGGGAGAGCACGGCTCTTCGCATGATGCCTGGCCCAGATTGGTGGCCAGGTGGTTTGAAGCCTCTGGGTGGAGAAGCCACCAGCAGGAATTGGATAGTGACCAGGGCTGGGGCCTCTGGAGTCTCTGACCTTGGAAGACAACCTGATGTTCCCTGCAACTATGACATATTTCTAAGTTCAGGGTTTAGCTAGGAGACAGGAGAATATAAGCAGGTGAGTGTGGTGGGAACACTAGGCTTTGTATTCAGACACTCCTGGGTTCACCCACTAACACAGCTCTGAACCTTGGGTGTCTCACCTGTAAAGTGGGTTGTTTTAAGGCAAGTGCCTAGAAGGGTATCTGGCTACAAGAGAACTTAGCATATAAGACTTGTTGGTTTGTTCCTTAAACCATATAACAGGAGATCTGGAGGAATACATTTAGTATTGAATCAGTGGCCCAATAACATTAAGGCTGGCATCTTAGTGATTCTGTTGATGTTTCTTTTGTTTTTGAAGTCCTGATTCTAAAATGGCTGCTGCAGCTCCGGGCATCAAGTCTGTGTCCATAGCAGAAAGAAGGGAAAGGAGCAATGCTGGCTTCTGCTCCTTCTGACAGAAAAGCAAAGTTCCCAGAAGCTCCTGGCTTATATCATGGAGCCATTCCTAGCAGAGAGGGAGTCCATGAAAGCAAACATCTAGTTTTTTGGCCACTGTGTAGATGGTGGTCAGGGAAGAAGAGGTAGGGAGTACATTAGCCATTTATCAGTGTTTGCTGTAATGAAGGATTTTTAATTAGGGGGAATTGTCCTCTTTTTTTAAATCCTCACCCAAGGACACTTTTTCATTGCTTTTAGAGGGAGGGAAGAAAAGAGGGAGAGGGAGAAAGAGAGAGAGAGAGAGAGAGAGAGAGAGAGAGAGAGAGAGAGAGAGAGATGTGAGAGAGAAACATTGATTAATCATCCTCCTGCAGGTGCCCCAAGGGGGGACTGAACGCACAACCCAGGCATGCGCCCTGACCAAGAATCGAACCTGCAACCCTTTGGTCTATGGGACAATGCTCCAAGCAACTAAGCCACCCCGGCCAGGATCTTTTTATTTATTTGTCTTTTAGTGGTTATTTACCTGCTCCCACCCCCTGAATTATTGTCTGGATTTCCCACTGCCTGCCCTATAACACCTTTATTCCTCTTAGAAATAATCAATAATGAAGGCATAAAAACACTCAGAGTCGTGAAGTCCCCAGCATCTCCCTCGGAGGCGGACCAGTGGAGCCCAGGGCGAGGCCGAGTGTGGGGCAAGTGGGACGTTCTCACAGGGAGGTGAGCAGGGCCAAAACTCGTACCCTAAGTCTGAGATGGAGCAGTAACTTGGCACCCGGGAGACGAGAACCAACGCAAGGAGGTCTAGAGCAGCGTTGTTTCATAGAAATATAATGTGACCCCCATATGTACTTTTAATCTTGTAATAACCATACTAAAAAGCAAAAAAAAACCCCATGAAATTAACTTTAATAATATATTTTATTTTACCCAATATATGTAAAATATGATTCAACATGTCATTAATATTCAAAATTATTAATGAGCTACTCAACCCTTTTTTGCACTAGGGTTCGGAAACCTGGTTTGCGTTTCACACTCGCAGCACACCTCACTTCGCACTGGTCACCTTTCAGATGCTCCGCAGTCACATCCGTCTCCTGGCTGTTGTGTTGGGCAGTACAGGCCACAGAAATGGTTGCCAACGTGTTGGACCAAATGCCTGCTCTTTATACCAGATGATTTGTTTTGCCCCTCACCATCCTTAAATGAAATTTATAGGCACCCTAATCGGTAACAAATAGACTTCAGGGTGGATAGTGGCTCAAACAAACACAATAGAAATTTAGTTCGGACTCTTGGAACAGTCTAGCGCGGATGTTTCTGGGCAGCAGATGATTCTTCTTCGAGTTGAAGGTTCACAGTGCAGGCTCCGTTTACTTCGTGGCTGTTATTACTATTTTCCATTTAACGACCTTCTTTTCATCTGCATCCAGAGAGCAGACAGGGCAAGTGAGCACCTCAAAGCCTCTGCTCAGCAGCAGCACACACCTCGCTCCACTGGCTTGGACCTGGCTCAGGTGCCTGAATGCATTCGCAGTGGGGGAAGCTGGGAAACGCAGTGAGCTGTGGGGCCCCAGAGTGAACAGCCAGCCTCTTACTTACTCATACACTCTAGATTTTTAAAAAAAGAAATGTAAAGGAGAACTGCCATGTAAAGGAGAAATAAAAGGAAAGTAAGCATAGTAAAATAGCACGTACTTAAATATATGTATACTTAAATAAATATTTCTAGCTATGCTAATAAAAAATCATGCGACAGACGGCTAGGTGCCTGCCCCTGTGTGTGGGGAGCCATGAATGTGACCGGCAAATGCCAGGGCTGGTCCACGCAATCAGATGCCCTGCAGGGCCTGACCGTAGAGATTTTCCAGAATAGTAAACAATTGTTGATGGAGTTCTGAACAAAATAAAGTATCATCTTCCCTCAGTTTGTAGGACAGTTGCATTCCTGGAAAATTAGTATATATTAAAACTGTTTAAGAATATTTTATGATTTGTGACAACATGGGTGGACCTTGGGAGCATTATACTAATAAGTCAGGCAGAGAAAGACAAATGCCTTATGATCTCTCGTGTATATATATATGTGAAATCTAAAATTAAAAAAAAAGAATGCAGAGAAACAGAGAACAGATGGGTGGTTGCCAGAGGTGGGGGTGGGCGGTGAGGGAAATGGGTAAAGATTGTTAAAAGATACAAACTTCCTGTCGAAAGTAACTTCTGGAGATGTGACGTACAAAATGGTGACTATAGTGAACAATTATTGAGTAGTCGAGTATTACTAAAAAGGGAGACCTTAAAGTTCTCACCACAAGAAAAAAAAGTGTCTGAGGTAATGGATGTTAACTAAACTTATTGTGGTGATCATTTTGTAATATATACACACATCAAATTGCAGTGTTGTAAGGCAATCATATCTCAATAAAATTAGAAAAATACAAAAACTTTTGTGATTATGTGTAAAGCAGGGTTAGAGTCTAGGATCAGGTCACTATGAATGGATTTTTCACTGTATTGAGTTTCTAGTAAGACATTAGAAAATCACATAGGGTGTGAGACAACTCTTTGTTCCGTAGGGCAGATTATTTCTCCTAGGCCCTGGGATTTCCAAGGCGCCTCCCAGGGAGCGGGGCTGCCGGTTTCCTGCGGTTGGAACCAGCTCGGCGGCAGAGGAGAGGCGGAAAGTAGAACCTAGACGGCAAACAGCAGCAACGGCCTCCCTCTCTTCTGCTGCTGATCTTCGCCATCTTCCTATGCGATTTCCCCGCATTCCAAATTCTCCTCTGTGTGATGAAGTCTTCATGCCATTTAATGAACAGGTGAACATTATACTAGGAGAAGTGAAGTTTATTTTATTTAAGTAGCCATTTTACTCAGCTACCAGTCGTGTGATTTTATCCTCCTTGAATGGGAACTTAACTTCGAGCTTTCTTCCCTTTGCACTTCCACATTTCCTCACAAGGGGGCACTGCATGCCTTGTTGTGGCTTGTCAACAGCTGTGTGAGGTCGGCCTGGCTTCTTCAGGGCTTCTGCCTCCTAAGACGAGTAACACAGGAGGTGTCCTCGGTTAACCTGGGGAGCAAGGGGGCGGGGCTCTCTGCTCTCAGGTGTTCAGTGTTGGTGTTAACCGAGATGCTAGAAAACTCCACCTACCTTTCTCCATTTAGGTGTGAAGAGCTTTACTTTATAATTAACGATAAAAGGTGAAATAATTAAATGGTGAATCACATCTTAAGGAATATTTTAGGCTCCCTGAAATGTTTTAGCTATTCTCTTGGCAAATATTGGTTATACAATTAATAGTGTTATCACACATCTAAATTTAGCCTTGCTAGAGATGCAAATTCTCTTAATTTAGGTTTCTGAAACTTCTTACGGTTGTGAAACTGAAAAGAGGCAGGATGTGAGGTGAAAGCTGCTGGTAATGTCCTGATCTAAGTCGTTTTCAGTCACCACACACAGGTAGCTCCATCTCTTGTCAGAGCTTGGCATCCTTGTTTAAACTTTAAAATGAGCACACAGGATTAATAAAGAGGGACTTCCTGGAGAAGCAGGACTGGTCACCCAGAGAAACCCCGGAGGGTTTGCATGCCTGAGCGATTGGCCTCAGAGAGCCCAGTCTCACACTGCAACACTCGGAAGAGACTTAGGTAGAAAAACCACAGGCTGACTTTCTCTTTACGCGATACAAATAGTCATGTTCGTGAAGGACACCTCCTCTCCCTTGAAACAAAGTTACACGGAGAGTTAAGAGCGTCGGCAGAAGATGCCGAGCAGGCGTGGACTCAGAGCAGCAGAACCGGGGGATGTGATGGTGGTGCCGCCGTGGAGACTGCTCACCTTTGCCTCTCTGAGCCTCCCTGGTTCTGGAATTTCACCCTGGATTCCCGTGCCCACCTGACTCACACAACGCTCACCAACCACGCCCTGCACCGGTGCCTCTTCTACTGGTTACGTGAAGTGCACGTCATCATTTGTACCCCTTGGCTTCACTGGGGAGCCGCGGCTCCTCCTCATGCAGCGCCCTCCCTGCAGGCACCTGGAGGGCGCCCACGGTGCTCCAGCTGCGCCCCCCCCCCCCCCGCTGGCTCCCCTTTGGCTGGGGCACAGGCCCGTGTAGATTTAGGGCCAGTTCTCCGTGCCTTCGCAGCATCTCGGTGATTTTATTATATCCCTTCTTGGCCAAAGCAAAACCAAACATGTAAAACAACTTAATAAGTCTACAAGTCCTAACAACTTAGTAACTGTTTGAAAAAATAAATACATGTAAATGGGAAGAAAAAGCAATTCTTAAAATTTCATTCTTAGATAACTACAGTTGTCTTGAACCTTGAATCAGATTGATTTTGGAGGTAACTCTTCACTACCATTTTAGCTTTTTAATTTAGTGACTACAAAAATGAAGAGAAATATTATGTATTTGTGTTGGCATTCTTTACCATTCCAGCTATGCTAAAATAATTTTTAAAATATTACCTTTAATATGGTGACTATCTTCAAAGGATTCCAGAATCAAATTCTTACAACACCACTGAGCAAGCATGAAGGAGAAGAGATTTGTTCAAAGCAGTTCAGTGTCCACCTTTTCACATTCTACTTGAAATAGCTAGAAAAGGGGGAGGCCAATAATACACGTCTCCTGACTTGCTACTAGTCCGAGTCCTTCACCTGCACAGGCGCGATGTCCAGACCGTGCGCTAACATCCCGACCTCCCGCCTTCCTTGCAGGAGGTCGAGGGAAAGACGGTGCCCCGATCATCACTCTTCCCGAGTTTGTGGGGTTCAGACACATCCCGGATGAGGACTTTCTGAATGTCGTGACCTACCTGACCAGCATCCCCAGGTGAGCGGAACACAGCATTCTACTGCCTTCTTAGTCCCTGGCTTTGTCCACGTTTCCCACTTGGCAGGTCGGGGTGGAAATGGAACCTTCCAGGAGCACAGCTCACCCTGGCATTATGTAACTCAGCCAGTTTCATGTGTCACAGACCAGGGATGGAGAAGGAGACTAGAAAGCAGTGATGAACTGAGCATCAGTTCTGTTCATAGTGTGCACAGAGGAGGTACTCACTACACATTGCTGAGTGAATGACATTGATGGAACAGCCGAAGCTGTCTTTGTTCTTCCAGGTTCATTGCTCTAGATTAAGTTGCTTTGGGTTTCCTGGGGCCCACTGCCAGGGGCATATGGCCATTGCTCAAGGAACTCTAGTCATGTTAAGAGTTATGTCATTTATTTCCTTTAAGTAAGGAATTTAGGGCAGACTTTCTCATTGTCATTGTGAGATGGAGAAACTGAGGCACACAGCAAGGAAACTGAAAGGCCAGGGATAAAAACCATGTTAAAGTGGAGACCATGGCAGTGATGTTTTGGGGCTCCTCCACCCTCTGCGGCCATGTCTCACATCTTTACACCAAAGGAGTGATACCCAGGTCTCCGAGGGATGGAGCGTGGGACAGAGTTCACGTTGGCTGCAAGCACGGCCCAGACGGAGACAGAGGGGAGGAGGGCCCAGACTCACTGCTTAGATAGCACTGCGTCCTCTCCAGCAGGGCAGACCGGCCCCACCCTCCGTGGGTTTGTGCTGCTTATGATATCACCTCTTACTTAAGTGTGGTGTGGTTAGGAATTTGCACAACAGCTGTGTGTGTGTGTGCATTGTTGTGCTTGCTTTTCATCTGCCACCTACGATGATTCAGAGGTAAACGCCAACTTTGCTACTGAAAGGCCACCTGGAGTCTGATCCCACCTGCGGAGGTTAGAAAGTTGCTTAGTTTGCTTCAACCAAAGCCACTCCATGGAAATAAAGAACAAACTGACAGAGACCAGAGGGGAGCGAGGAGAGGGATACCGGGGAGAGAAGGGGAAGGGGCAGGTCAAGGAGCGTGAATAGAGGATTCATCCTCAGGGACAGTGGAGGGGGTTGACTCTGGTTGTAAGGGGGGCAGTGGGGTGCGCGTGAGCACCAGAACAACAGGCAGGACAACTGTAACCGAACAACAGTAAAAAAAACTGTTTGGTTTTGTTTTTTCACCCATCTTACTTTCTGAGAGAAGGTTATGGGTATATTTTAGTGCCCTTCTGCACGTTTCAGCTCTTGATTTCCACTTCACCGCTTTCCTCCCATCCCCCGTCCCTGTGTGGGCTGCGTTGGATTGGGGGACGGGTTCCTGCTGTTCTCTCCGCAAGAGCACCTTCCCGCCCCTTCTTGGCCTGGCTCACTCCTACACATCCATGAGCCCTCAGCCCCGTGTCCTTGCTTCCAGAAAACCTTCCCTGACCACAGTTCTGCTCTCCCGACTCTAGCAGAACCCAAAGCTTGCCCCTTATAAACACCATAGTACATGGAAATGATTTCTGCCTGTACTGCTGCACTGGGCTTCCTTTTGTCTTTTCTTTTTTTCTAAAATTGTAGCTCTAGCACAGTGCCCAACACATAATAGGTTCTCAAGAAGTAATGTTGGTAGAATATCTGGTTTGGATATAATCTATTGTAATCTAAAGGTGTTTTTATAGGGTGAGCAGGGGGCCACTGGCAGAGAGGAGACCCCCTTTCTCGCTCCTGCATTGGCCTCCTGGGTTATGGGGAGTTGAACTTGGTCTCCCTCTTTGGCTCAGTCGCATCCAAGACAATCACCCATCAGTTTCTCACCCTCTCCTTCTGTGGGAGCAGCGAGGGTGACAGGGAGCAGGGAGCTGGGCGGACGTGCCCGGCCCCATTACACTTGGTTTGATCTCACTGTGTGATCTCACGGAATCCCTAATCGCAGTCGTGAGCAGTCAGTGAAACAGGTGGCTTTCATCTTGTGCTCGCAGACTTTTTCCAAGTCACACTGACGACCGTACCTTGAGTGTCATCTGAACCAGAGTTGAGAGAAGCGTGGAGGGGTGGAAACCCTCATCTCACAGATGTGGAAGGCAAAACAAGGGGCTCCTGTTTGGGCCTGATTTCCTTGTTCTGCTCTATGGTCCTTGCAGAACTGCTGGTAAACTTGGGAGTATGTTCCTTTCCTCAAGTGCTGTTTTTCCCTTGACAAAGAGTGCCTGCTCGGCCAGTTATTCCCCTTTCTTCTTCTTCACATTGGCTCACATTCTCTCACTGGCCCGCCCTTTGGTTTTAGCATGAAAGGGGAATTTGACCTGATTGTCCAGTTTCTATTTCAGGTTCCTATTTATTGAAATTGGCATCTTCCTAAATGTTACAGTGGTTGCCGGGCACCAGAGCCCTTCTCAGATTGCAAAATGTCTATGGGCAGTTAGCAGAGGGCCGGTGACATGGAACCAGGGAGAAGTGACGCAGTGGACGAGAAGGGCGGCAGGACACCCTGGACAGGGCCCAGTGTCACACACTACTCAGACCTGCCGCCTTCCTCCTCCCTGCCTTATTCCATTCTGCCTTAATCTTAAATAGCTTCCTTCTTGTGCTTTCAGTTTTCTTAATTTTTGTCCTTTTTGAGTTAAAAAGTATATTTACTCTCCTTTTTCATTTTATTGTTATAAATGTTTAAGATTATGAATTTTCTCTTGATCCCTGCTTTAAATGTGTTTTAGTAATTCTGATATGTAGTATTTTTATCATCCCTGAATTTTAGAAATGCTGTAATTTCATTTTATATTCCTTTTTTACTGAAGAGTTGTTTAATAGAAGGTGTTTTGATTTTCAGGTGTCTTCCTTGTGGCCTTGCGGCAGGAAGCATTTTTGTGGGAGGAAGACGGATCCTCTGTAATGAGGATGTAGATCCCAGCACACACAGTCTCAGGGATGAGTTGTCTGCTCTGCCCCACACTGAAGGCGGCGTGTTGCAATCTCCTGTGTAAAGTGTATTTCTGTCTCCTGTAGTTTCTGCCTTAAAAAGTTGGTTATTATGGTTATTTGGAGTAGAGATATTTTAAACGATCATATCTCCATTGTGAATTGTGATTTTTAGCATTCAAAAGTGTTCCTTCGTATGTTTAATGCTTTATGACTTGAACTCTACTGTGTTGCTATCGAGCCTGAACCCCCTTACTATTTTTTCCATTTGCTTAGTATATACTTTCGCAATTTCTTTTTGTCTTTCTGAATCACCTTGTGCTAGATGTTTTCTCTTGTATACAGTAAGTATATGGTTGGTTGTTACTTTGAGTCAGATTGAAAATCTTTTTCTTATATTAGGTGAGTTAAGCCCCTTCATATTTATTAATATGATTAATATATTTGCTCACAATTTTGTCATAACAGTTAGATGTATTATATTTACTGTATTTCTCTCTGTGATAGGTTTTCTTTTTTATTATTGACTTCTTTTGGTTTTTAGAAAGATTTGTGATTTTGTCCTGTTTTGTACCTTTTTTAATGTCATTAGTCCCTGGTTTTGTTTTTAAATTATTTATTTATTTTATTGATTATGCCATTATAGTTGTTCTATTCCCCCCTTCATTCCCCTCCACCCTACCTCCCCATCCCCACCATTACCCCCTTTAGTTTATGACCATGTGTCTCAAGTTCTTTAGATTCTGTATTTCCCAAACTATTCTTGCCCCCCCATCTATTTTCTATCTACTGTCTATGCTACTTATTTTCTGTATCTTCTCCCCCCTTCTCCTTCTCCCACTCCCCTGTTGCTAACCCTCCTTAAGATCTTCATGTCTATGGTTCTGCTCCTGATCTAGCTGTCCTTTTAGTTTGCTTTTGTTTTAGGTGTGGTTGTTAATAACTGTGAGTTTGCTGTCCTTTCACTGTTCATCTTTTTTATCTTCTTTTTCTTAGGTAAGTCCCTTTAACATTTCATATAATAAGGGCTTGGTGATGATGAGCTCCTTGAATTTGATCTTATCTGAGAAGCACTTTATCTGTCCTTCCATTCTAAATGAAAGTTTTGCTGGATAGAGCAATCTTGGTTGTAGGTCTTTGGATTTCATGACTTGGAATACCTCTTTCCAGCCCCTTCTTGCCTGTAAGGTCTCTTTTGAGAAATCTGCTGACAGTCTGATGGGAATTCCTTTGTAGGTGTGACTCTGGCTCCTTTATCTCTTGCTGTTTCTAGGATTCTCTCCTTCATTTAATCTTGGCTAATGTAATGATGATGTGCCTTGGTGTGTTTCTTCTTGGGTCCAACTTCTTTGGGACTCTCTGAGCTTCCTGGATTTCCTGGAAGTCTATTTCCTTTGCTAGATTGGGGAAATTCTCCTTTATTATTTGTTCAAATAAGTTTTCCACTGGTGGCTGTTCCTTTCCCCCTTCTGGTACCCCTATAATTCGGATGTTGGAGTGTTTAAAGATGTCCTGGAGGTTCCTAAGCCTCTCCTCATTCTTGCTTCTTCACTCTTTTCTGTTTGGCCATGATTTGCTTTCTTCTGGTTCACTCCATTGATTTGAGTCCCAGTTTCCTTTTCATTGCTATTGATTTCCTGTGTAATTCCATTCATTTCAATTAGTTTCGCCTTCATATGTATATCTAATTTGTGGCTATAATCAACCAGTTCTGTGAGGATCCTGATCACCAGTGTTTTAAACTGTGCGTCTGAGAGTTTTGCTATTTCTTCATTGCTTAGATTTATAGGCTCTGGGGCTTTGAGATCTTCTTGGGCTATTTTTGTTCTGTTCACGCCTGTTAAGTACGAGGAGGGGAGCCTTGGACTCCCAGGTCCCTGGGTTGTGACGCTGCATGTGGGGGCGTGGTCAGAGCGGGGAAATGGAAGCCCCCTCTGCTGTTTCCGGGCGCTGGGTGAGGAGCAGAGCCTCATGTGGTTCACCAGGGCCGGGCCACTCAGAGTCGCTGGGTTATGATGCTGTATGTGGAGGCGGGGTCAGAGCAGGGAAATGGCGGCCACTGGGGCCTGCTGGGTCCCATCCAATCGCCCACTCCCTCGCTTGTCTATCCACGCACGATGCGAGATCACAGTCAACCCGCAGCCCTGCTCCCTCGCTGTTTCCTGTGGTCACTCGCTGAGTTGCCCACCAGGTCCAACCCTGCGCCTGGATTCCACGTGCCTGAATCCGTCTGACCGAGTTTTCCTGTGCAGCCCCACCCCTCCAGCTGCTGGTTTCGCCCCTCTTACCGGTCAGGCTGAAGAATTTGTTGTTATCAGACTTCCGAAAAGTTCAATTTTCTGTGTTCTGGCTGTGTTTTCTGTTGCTAATATTTAGTTGTCTCTAAACTTGGTTGTGTGAGGAAGCACGGCATCTCCACCTATGCCTCCATTTTGGCGGAAGTCCTAGTCCCTGTTTTTAAATAGTCTTTTACTCTCTGCTTTGTCAGTTTTCAATACTGTCTCTTGAGTCCCACCTACTGTCTCTACAACAGTCAATGACTTTATTTTCTCTTCTTTCTTTTCTTCTTCCATCCTTTAACTTGCATTATTTCTATGTTATTCTTCCATAATATTTAGTGTCAGACCTACCATTAAATACATTACATTAATCTCCTTGATGAGTTTCTCTAGGTTATCTTTTGATTGGATCTTTGCTAAATTATTCAAAAAGGGCTCACAGGTACAGAACTTGCTGAATTTTTACATGGTCACAACCATTTTTATGTTGTCTTAATACTTGAAAGCCCACTTATCAAGGTGTAAAATTCTGGGTTCACACTTTTTGGTCATGAATTATTATAGAATGCTGCTCAGTTCTTGCCATGATTTTTATGTTGCTTTTGAGAAATATGATGCTAGTTTGTTTCTTTTGTCCTGGTAAGTTATTTTATCTTTTTGCTTGAAGGTGCTTAGAATTTTTACTTTATTCTTAAAACCTAACAGTCTTAATAAGATATGTGTTAAGAGTTGATTTTTCAGATTAGCTTTCCAACATGACTGCTAGGCCTCTTCAGGTATCTGTAGACTCAGGTCTTTTCCGTGTGTGTTTGGAAACTTTTCTTGAATTATACTTGTAAATATTATTTCTGTCCCTTTGTTTTGGTTTTAGTCATTAGGGACTTCAGATGTAAGTATGCTGGGTTTTTTTGTCTGGCTACAATTTCAACCATTTTCTTTCTGAACATTTTTTATTGTTTTCTTTTTCCCCCCATTTTAATTTACTTATTAATTTGTTTTATGTTATTCATGGTCCCTTATTAAATTTATTTATTAATTTGTTTTATGTTATGCATTGTCCCTTATTAAATTTTTGTTCAAATATGTTCTCTCTGTGTATCTTTCATTTAGACTGCATTTCTTATAATTATTTTTCTTTTATTTTTCCGACTTTAATAAACTCATTTTATTTCCTCTTTTCTTTACATATTAAAAAGTCCATTTCTGTTCTTGGTCTTTGAGTTTCTTACTTAAAGTCTTCTCCCATATCCCCAAATGCTTGTTTTTAATTGTTTGAAGAACTATGCTATAGCAGGGGTTTTTCCTTTAATGACTAATTTTTGGAGGAATTTACATTATCTAAAATATGAGAGTTTTTAACAGTAGTTTTAAGTTCACAGCAACATTAAGTGGAAAGTTCAGAAATTTCCCACGTACTCCCTGTCGCGCCCCAAGACAAATCTTCATCCCATACCCAATGGTACATTTGTCACAATTGACGAACCCACAATGACACACAACTGTCACCCGAAGTCCATAGTTTATATTAGGGTTCGCTCTTGGTGTACATACTGTGGGTTCAGTTTAGACAAACGTATGAGGACGCGCACTGAGCATGACAGTACAGTGTTGTACAGAGTAGTTTCACTGCCCTAAACATTCTCTGGGATCTGCCTGCTCATCCTCCCATGCACGGCACTTGGCAACCACTAATCCTTTACTGTCTCCACGGTTTTGCTGTTTGCAGGATGTCATGTAGTTGGAATCATACAGTACGTAGCCTTTTAAGATTGACTTCTCGTTTGTACACGCAGACCCAGGGGAAGTCCTGAGACTGAAAACTCTGCTCCACAAGCGGAGGGCAGGGAAAGACTGAAGAAAAAGACAGGCTACTTCAGTCTGGGAATAAACAGCGTTTATTAAAGGAAACTCATATACAAGGTGCCTCTCGAATATTGACAAGACAAAGTGGTTGTCCTCCCGCTCTTTGGCAGGTGCTAAGGAGTGTTGCAGAGCAAGGCAGGATGGACGGGGTGCTGGCATGCGACCCATCCTGGGTACGGGGAAATGCCTTACGTGCCTGTCTGTGGCAGGGTTGCAGCCTGTTCTGGCAACCGCACGCCATGGGCACACGGAGGGGTCGATCAGAGACTCTCCGTGGGGGTGTGCGGGACACGATCTCTGTTCCGGGTTTACAGGAAGCACCCCCTGGTCTGGCCCAGATCTAGCACGTCATGAAACAGTCTCTCTTCCTCACTTCTTTCTTTTAGTAATATGCATTTCAGTTTCTTCCATGTCTTTTCATGGCTTGATAGGTCATTTCATTTTAGTGCTGAGTAATATTCCATTGTCTGGATGTACCAAAGTGTATACATTCACCTATTGAAGGTCATTTTGTTTGCTTCCAAGTTTTGGTAGTTAGGAATAAAGCTGCTATAAGCATCTATGTGTGAGTGTCTGTGTGGACATAAATTTTCAATTATTTCAGTAAATAGCAAGGCGCACGTGCCCTGCATCACATGGGATGAGTATGTTTAGTTCTGTAACAAACCGTGCAGCGGTCTCCCGAGGTGGCCGTCCCAGTCTGCACTCCTGCCAGTGGCGAGTGACAGCTCCTGTTGTTCCAGGTCCTTGTCAGTGTTTGGTGTGGACGGTGTTTTGCGTTTGGGCCATTTTAACCGATATGTTGTGGTGTCTCGTTATTTTAGTTTGCAATTCCTTAATTATGTGTCATTAAATATCTTTTGATATGCTTATTTGTCATCTGTATATCTTTTTTGGTGAGGTGTTTGTTTTGGTTTTC